CGAAAAAGTCCCAAACCTATAAGAGAAAGGCTTCCCAATTTGACAAGGACTATAGGTTTTCCTTTCCCAAATCTATTAGGACAATGAGTTTTCTTAAAACCTATAGGGACTATGGGTTTCCTAAAAATACAAGAAATTAATTCAAGCCACAAATAACAAATCTTCCCCTTGGCTTGAATTGTCTTCATCAATAGGAACAACGTCTCTCTACCTTGCCCTCAGCCCTCGCAAGGGCTCTATTCATTGCCCACACATTAACCAAGTCAAGGCAATGCCTAAACCTGTTAAGAGACTCAATCTCTTTAGCCATAGCACTAATCCGTCGATTTGGTTCTGTACCTGAATAGCTTCTGAGTAGCTATAACACTCAAATGCATCAACGGTCTCTGCAACTGCCAAAGCAAATCCCACTGGATTCGTATATCCAAGAAGATTCCCATCAACTAAGTTTGCAAACCTTTGCGGTCGGTTGATCACTTTCTTCTCTCTGCCTATTGCAATGCTATATGGTTGTTGTTGCGCAGATGCATCAACATTGTCATTTTGATCAATATTTTGCACTTCCTCCACTTTCTCTACTTTAGAACTACTGGGCTGAGCTAGTGGAGATTCAATTTCTAGCTCTATGCGGTCACTGACACCACGATGTGTTTATGCTATTGCCTTCTCCCTCTGACTGTCCAGTGAGGCAGATTCATTGAATGTTACATCCCTACTGATAATTAGCCCTAGAGTCTTTTGATCTGTGCACCACAACCTATAACCTTTCACTCAAGTTGCATACCCTATAAATATGCACTTCTTTGCCCTCGGCTCAAGTTTTTCATCCCTCATATGAGCATAAGCAAGACAACTAAATATCCTTAAATTTGAATAATCAACCGACGAACCGGACCATATCACAAAGTGTTCTATTCATACGTTCTGCAACACCATTTTGTTGTGGTGTTCCGACACAAGTGCGGTGTCTCACTATGCCCTCCATGCTGCAGAAATTATCGAACTCATAATTGTAAAATTCCAGCCCATTGTCAGTTCAAGACGCTTAACTTTTCTTTCCGTCTGCCACTCAACCATCTTTCATTTAGCAAATGTCGAAAACGCCTCATCTTTTATTTTCAGAAAATACACCCACACCATCCTTGAGTAATCATCAATCGAAGTCATAAAATACCTGGCACCACTCTTAGAGGGAACTCTGTTTAGACCCCATAAGTCAGAGTGTATATAATCTAACTTGTCTCTGGTCTTGTGCTCGGCCTTCTTGATGAACTTTACCCTTGTCTGTTTACCAAACACACAATGCTCACAAAAATTTAAAACTTGATTTTTGTACCCATTCAGCAAATTCTGCTTACTCAACAAAGACAATCCATTATCACTCATATGGCCAAATCGCAAGTGCCACAACTGAGGCTGATTCAGATCACTTTTCCCAGAAGCTACAGCAGCTTCCCCTTCAACTACACTGGCCTGAAGATGATACAATTTAGAATGTAGTTTACCCTTCATGAGTACCATGGAGCCTTTACACACTTTAAGTATTCCATTCTCGGAGTGAAATTTATACCCTTGATCATTCAAAGTCGAAAGAGAAATCAAATTTCTCTTTATTCGAGGAACATGCGAACACTCAATATTTCTAATAATTCCGGTCAAACATTCTCAATTTGATGTTACCAACCCCCTCTACTGGTAATGGATTATCATCTCCCGTATGGACAGTCCCACCCATTTTCTTGTAAGTTGCAAACCAATTCTTGTGTGGACACATGTGGAAAGTAGCACCAGAATCAATAACCCAAGAATTCTGCCCATTACTAGAACTCACAGCACAGACTTCCCCTACATAGTCACTATCATCAGAATTATTGCCAGTGTCCGTAATATTTGCCGAATTATCTATTTTCTGCTTCCCTCTTTTCTCCTTCGGCTTAGGACAATCTCTTTTGTACTGACCTTGCTCCCCGCACTCATAACAGTGTTGCTTCCTTGCTCTAGACTTTGATCTGGCGGTTGACTTTTTCCTGTTAAAGTTCTTTTGTTGTGTTCTTCCTCTAATCACAAGACCCTCGCCCTCAATTCTGCTGTCTGGAAAGCTCCTTTTCAACTCTTTAGATTTTAGTGCATTACTAACATCTTCTAGTGAAATGCTGTCTTTCCCATATAGTAGCGTATCGACAAAAGTATCATAAGACGGTGGTAAAGAACATAACACAATCAAGTCCTGATCCTCACTCTCAATTTTGATATCCACATTCTTCAGGTCCATTATAACTGAATTAAACTCATCAATGTGAGTTTTAACAGGTGTACCTTCATTCATACGGAGATTGTATAACCTCTTTTTCAGGTAGAGGTGGTTTGTTAGAGATTTATTAGAATACAGATCTTCCAGCTTCTTCCATGCCATTGCTGTAGAATTTTCTTCAGCAATTTTCCGAAGAACGCTATCTGTAACGCTCATGAAGATTGCACTCAAAGCCCGCTCCTTCAGGTCTGCCTTCTTTGTCTCCTTCATCTCTTCGGAAAAATCCTCATCAATTGCCTTCCAAAACCCTTGTAACACCAGGGACGATTTCATCCTAATCTTCCATGGACTGAAACTAGAACCTCCGGCAAATTTCTCTATTTCGTACTTTGTTGAAGATGATGAAGACATCTCAACCCTAGATTATATGTAGAAACCTGAACCTTGCTCTGATACCAATTGTTGCGGAATATCGTGGGTTAACTAGCACACAATCACACACAAAACAAATAGAGAAGAAAAATTAACACAAGGATTTAATGAGGTTCGGCTAAGCCTAATCCTCGAGGCAAAAGCAGAGAGAGTTTTCCACTATGAATAAGAAGAAAAGCGTAGTACAATCTCTAGGATCTCCAACTACAACCCCTATATATAGATCCGAAAAGGTCCCAAACCTATAAGAGAAAGGCTTCCAAATTTGACAAGCACTATAGGTTTTTCTTTCCCAAATCTATTAGGACAATGTATTTTCCTAAACCTATAGGGACTATGGGTTTCCTAAAAATACAAGGAATTAATTCAAGCCACAAATAACACTTATAAATATGGATACTACTACTATGGATGGTCCGATACTGAATAAACAAGTATCTCCTGTAGATGGAATAAGGTTCTCTTTCAAAAGTAGTTTTGTCCCATCTGCTAGAGCTTGAAGAATTCCTAAAGGGCCAGCATATTCGGGTCCGATACATTGTTGTATTCCTGCAGATATTTCTCTTTCTAACCAAACAATTACTAGTACACCTATTGTGATTCCTAATACAAGAGTCAAAATAGGGAAAAACATCCATATGATTCCATAGACTTCTTTTAAGGCTTCCAATTTGAAAAAATAATTGATAGTTTATATTTCCGTTATATCAATTATGCTACCTAGTATTGTCATAATATCAGCCAATCTCATTCTTTTAACTAACTGAGGAAGAATTTGCAAATTGATAAAACCCGGTGGGCGAATTTTCCTTCTCAAAGGAAAAACGCTCTGATCTCCTATGAGAAAAATTTCCAAGTCTCCTTTTGTGGGCTTCAACTCCCACATAAAGTTCTTGTTTCGACAATTCAAAAGTTGGAGAAGGTTTTTTACTAATAAACCGATATTCAAAATCATTCCATTCAGGATCTTTAATATGTCAAAACATCGGATTTTCAAAATTTTTGTAAGGCCCTCCTGGAATTCCTTCCAAAGCCTGCTGAATAATCTTTATGGATTCTGTCATTTCACTGATTCGTACTAAATAACGAGCTAATGAATCCCCTTCTCGTTGCCATTGAACCTGCCAATCAAATTCGTCGTAAGACTCATAATGATCAACTTTACGAAGATCCGATAATGATCAAAAAGATTTTATGCTTGTTTCTTTCTCTTGTTTGAGACAAGTCGTGAATCTAAAATATTATAATCTTTTACGGTGAAAGAAGTTGGGACGAAGTTTGTGAATAATAGATTACCTAGAGAAATAGGTAAAAGAAATTCCCGCCCAAGATTTAATAGTTGGTCCATTCTCAGCCTCGGTAAAGTCCATCTTGTTGCAATAGGAATGAACAAAAACAAATAAGTTTCGCTAATGTGTTAAAGATACCAATTAGTGTTCCAAAGACTTTACCCCTTTTATTTATGCCAAATAGCTCAGGAACAAATATGTACGGAATAGAAAGCTCCAACCTCCCAAATAAAGAACTGTTACAAATAATGAAGAAACAGTAGATTCAGATATGAAGCAATGTAAAATTAACCAAATTTGATACCTGATAATTCACATATTTGCATTATACTGAAGTTATTTGATTGGTAAGCTATAAAATATTTTAATACTAAGCTTAACAATTACAATGACAAAGAAAATATTTGAGAATATAAATAAGAAAGAGAGCGAGCGAATATTTGTCCACCAACAATAAATAACACTAACGGTTCAACAATCATAAAGATCCAAAAATTAAATAGTAATTGATAATTTATTATTTTAGAAATTTTTTTATTTAAAAATAAAATTGTGTAATATATTTGATAAAGTCTAGTTACAATTAATGTTTTTCAATTTGGACGAGCTATATATCTCGCACTTTTATTTTATGTCTTACACTTAGATTATATCAAAGTAAAAAAATCGCCAGTTAAAAATTCATAAGCTATTTATGTATATTAACATATTTACACTTTTATTTTATAACTCAAGTATAATTTTTAATATAATATATACGGTCTTATTTTCGTGCAAAAGTTAGTTGTGGTGGCTGTGGTAACATTTGTAAGAACAAGAAAAAGTGGAGGGCGTTTTAGGCAAATTCAAAATAAACGCCAAATTGCTTTTCTGGCATTTTGACAGTGTATTGTATCCACTCAAATCCAAATAGTGTGACTCTGCAAACCACTCTCTCCTTGTGCAGTGTGCAGCAAAACGGAGCTCCAAGACAAGCGACACCGAAGCCGGTGACCTCTCTCTCTCTCTCTCTCTCTCTCTCTCTCTCTCTCTCTCTCTCTCTCTCACACACACACACACACACACACACACAGTTCTCTGCAATTTGGAAGTTGATTCCCTGTAATCAATGCCTGTAAAGCTGTAATTCACAGAAATCCATGTCCTTTTTGCTCTCAATTTTACGTTTCTTCCACCCATTTTTTAGCTTCTACCCATCTTTTTGTGTGCAACATTTTCGAAAAACTCATCTGGATTTCTACTTGTTCTTCCCAAAAAAGCTACATTTGCTGAAATATTTGTGTGTACACAGTGTTCCCAGTCCACTTCTTTTATATAGTATGTAGTTGATTTTGTTTTTTGAATTACAGTTATACAAAATTTGCTTCTATTTTTTTTTTTTTAAAAAAATCCACAGTGTTTGACTGGATACAAAATTTAAAAATAATTAAAACTTCTGAAATTTATAATCTAAAACTAATTTTAGACATTTGTGTCCCTGTAAATCATTAAAGTTTTAAGATTAAATTAATTTTAAATACCGAAAGATGTAATTCTAGTATGGACCAAGGGAGTATGTTTTAAGAAAACATATATGTACACACATGAAATTTGCATCCATTATCACATAGAATTAATAGTTGCAGAGTCTTATGAACTGAGTTATATTTCTGGCTAATGTGTAGCTGAATTCATCTGAATATGATGAATTCAGGTGATGTTGTTAGGAATTTTAATTGAATTATTCTGAAAACTGTTTCTTGCTTTTCCTTTATTTAAAAAAAAAAAAAATCGTTTCTTGCTTTCCATTTTGTTGTGGGGAAGAGTCAAAACAATATCTTTTCCTTTTTGTTGTATATTCCCTTTTGCCTTTATCTCTTTGTTGAAATGGATAGTGAAAGGTAATGGAATGTTTAACTAGCTTTGAGATCTTGTTGACTCATGTTTTGAGCTTACATTGCAGCTGGGGATCTTCATCTGGAATTTAGTAGCTGCAAGATCCGTTGCAAGTTGTGCTCCCAGTGGTCTCAGTATAAAACTGACCACGTAGGGAGCTCTTGACTGGACATTGCAGGCTGACATTTGTTTGTCGTTTATGTTTTTTTTAATGACGGTGGTGTCTAGGTCAGTTGAGCAAACGTTGACTAATCAATTGGATTGCCTGCTACACAAGCACAGGTTTGTTTAGAGACAATTTGTCCAAGAAAAGGCAAATATCAACCTGATACTTGATTAGTTTATTATGCAAGACATATGAGTGAGCCAATGTTGGTATTATGGCCATTCAATTGATATGAGATGTGCTTATAATTGACTTTAAAATAAAGGGATTCGAAGAAATAATCCTATATTGAGAATGGCGACGTGGGAACACTTTGGGGAAGTTGCAAACTTTGCCCAGCTTGCTGGCCTTGATGCAGTGAGGCTAATTGGGATGATTGTAAAAGCTGCTAGCACAGCTCGGATGCACAAGAAGAATTGTAGGCAGTTCGCACAGCATCTCAAGTTGATCGGGAATTTATTGGAGCAGCTTAAGATTACAGAACTCAAGAAGTATCCCGAAACCCGCGAGCCATTGGAATATCTTGAAGATGCATTAAGGAGGTCTTATATGTTGGTCCACAGCTGCCAGGATAGGAGCTATCTTTATCTGTTGGCTATGGGATGGAACATCGTTTACCAGTTCCGGAAGGCTCAGAATGAGATTGACCAATATTTGAAGATCATCCCTCTTATCACTCTGGTGGATAATGCTCGAGTCAGGGTACAGAAACTTTGCTCTCTTTATCCATACCATCAGGCATTCAGCTTTACATGTCTTCATAAGTATTTTATTTCGTTCATAATCTGTCCCACGCCTATGTATTTGTTCTTACTTGTATATTAAGTTTGATAGGAAGTCTTGAATTCATGATTTGTACTTGGAATTGTTTGTCAGGTCGTTGCATCATTTGATGTTGGTCTGATCCACAAAATTATAGTATGAGGCTTTTCTTTCCTGCTAACCTTGCACGTGTTTCCTATCGTAAGATCTTACTAGGTTTGCTGGTTAATTGCTATTCAAATCCTTGTTTTCAGATGCTAAGAAGACTTCTTTTTTGGTTAAATACTATGTTTGTGGAAGAACAAGTTTCCTATTTTCATGCTGTAACATGTATAAAAAGCTTGAATGTATTAGCATCATAAAAATAAATACCAATTACCAACAACAGTGTCAGTAAATTCAAGAATAGATTCTTACATTAGCTTACTTGTCAAGGTGTAAAGTGTGATCAATTAGGAGAAAAATTAGTGCATGATAGTTTCTTAAACATTTTGGTTCCTGCAAAATGGACAGCTCTGGTCACTTGTTCGTTTTGCATAAGATTATGAGGTAGGTCATGTGTGGGAAATGTGGACTACTTCAATGTGCCAGATGATGGACAAACGCCATGAGATATTAGTATCAAGCAGTCTAGAGTTGGAATTAATAGTAAACTGCTGTCACGAGGTCGTTGAGTATCGTCAACCTCTCTCTTCTGCCGAGTTATGTATTCTTATTCTCTTGTCTCCACTTTACAGGTTATGAACTAAAGTCAAGGACTAGGACGTTATGCACTCACTTTTTTCATTGCTATGGTAACTGCTGACTGTTAACAAAGTCGAGGGCCAATATTGTCTTATATCTTGTTTAACATATACTGTAGAAAAAATGTTTGTGATCACTTCCCAAGGCGATAGTTTCTTTATCAAGTAAAGCATGAGAGAAATTGTAGTTGGAAGTGAGATGCATCTTTAAAAAAACAGTAATCTGCTCACTTATTTAACTTTCATGTTATTCTAATATATCTATTCAAGCATGCAAATCTAGCTTGGTTTGCTCACTTCCGCTCAGAATTGGAAGGAGTAACCTGCACCTTGACTTAATTATTTACACATGTACAATTGGTGTGTTGTCAGTATCTAGTTTCTATCTTCAAAGAGAATAAATCTTTGCGTTTCATATGTTGACAGGAGAGATTTGAAATCATCGAGAAGGACCAGTGTGAATACACTTTGGAGGCTGAAGACATGAAGGTGCAAGAGGTCATTTTGAAACGAGAGCCCTCTAAACATGATACAGTAGTGTTGAAGAAGACCCTTTCTCGTTCCTACCCAAGCATGCCTATCAATGAGGCAATTCAAAAGGAGAATGAAAAGCTTCAGCTGGAACTGCAACGTTCACAAGCTAATTTAGATGTAAGTCATTGTGAGTTCATTCAGCATCTTCTCGAAGTCACAGAGGTAGTTGCATCTGAATCTCTTTCTGAGAAGAGTTCACCCACCAAGCCTACCAAAAAGTTAGAGCATAGTCACTCAGATGTCAACAGTGACAAGGAACACTATGATAGAAGTTATACTAAGAGCGATGAGAAACAGTCAACTTCAAGGTAGGTTTCCTTTATAGATAGTATTGATCCTTTCATATGATGTGGGAGCTATCTTGTGAATTCTCTAGAGTCTGAGAGTTTAGTGCCTATACTCTTCTATCAACCATTTCGCTTTTTATGTTATCTACAGAATCTCTTCATCAGTTTCATCTCAGCGTGAACTGCTGTCTTCAAAGGGTTCAGATCGATATGACGAGTGGCATTCAGATCTGTTGGGCTGCTGTTCAGAACCTCTCTTATGTACATTCAACATCTTTGCTTTACTATTCTTTATGTTACAGTACATGGTTTCATCTTTTCTATCGTTTTTCATTCCAGTTTTGCTTGAATGAAAGATAATCAGTTTCTTCAATGATTATTTGTTGATAGATATTTGTACTGAAGATGTAAAATGTCCAGAATAGTTAATTTTGTGAACAAAACTACCCGTGTTGACGTACTTGTATTCACAAGTCCAATTTTATGTGAGACACTTTGTAATTTGAGGAAATATTTGTTATTATTGATCAAAGAGAACAATTTATTCCACGCTCCAACTTCAGAAACTAAAAGTTTGTCATGATTGTAGTTTAGCCTATCAAACAGATCCTTCGTGCATTTTTTGGATGATTTCGGGGAAGTAACAAAGGGATATTTTTGGCATGGAGAAACCAGCATGGACTATTAAAAGCTCTTTGTTATTTCATTTCTACTGTATAGGTCGTTGGATAGAATAGATACCCTGAAGACTCAACACTAAACTGATATAATATTTGTTACCCATCTTGGTGCATGCTAAAAAATATCTGCTGATTCGTACCTTCGGAGTAGTCAGAGGAAGTACTGGGAGAGGTTCCATTCCATTTACTGGGAGAGAGGTTCCATTCCATTCCTTGGGTAGCTAGATCAAGGAAAAGGAGTTGCTTAATCCAGGGAGTATTCAAAAAAAGAAAAGAAAAAAAAAAGGCATTTGTTGAAAGCAGGATGTACTAGTAAGCATGCTATGGAAATGTTTCTCAGTGGCAGAAAAGGATTAGGTGATTTAGAGACGGAGCCATCTGTAGACTATAAAACAGAATAGAAGAAATATTGGATGTTGAAGTACAAAAAATAACCATGTTGGTTCAGGAAAGAAAAAAGTCAAGAAAGTATTTAGCAGTAGATTCATGTGCATAGACTCTCAAACTTGAACGTCAGTCGACAAGCTTCTATGTGCCATTGTAGCATTGCAAATAACTGCACTTTAGAGCCAATTACAGATAGGCTAACTAGATTAATAAGATAGAATGCAAACAACAAGGGACTGATGCCAACCTGAAATCATTCTTGGTGAAGGATGTTGGCATTAGAATTCACCTTCACAAGTTTTCTAGTTAGCATTTCAGATATATAATTGCACAAGTGGGTTTTAAGCACCTGGAAATATAACGTAGCCAATGACCTTTATCTTTCTAATCAAGGTGAGGTAGCTCTTAGGCAGAACAAGAAATGTGAGACTACTTATTTCCTAGCTCTAGCAGGCAAAAGGGCAACGAGCTATGTATTTTAAGTACTTCAAATAAGCTTAGTTGATGGTGACCATTGTATGTTATCCTATTTTGCAAAGTAAAATATGTTGAATTGGGCGCGTATTTCAAAAAGATAGAATGAGACAAGGAAATTGGATATTTAGACATTGAAACATAATCCTTAAGACATCTCTACAGCGAATTTTGGTTTTCCCCCTTTTTAAATTTCTTTCGGAAATTGCCTCTCTACTCCCTCGGGGTAGGTGTAAGGTCTGCGTACACTCTACCCTCCCCAGACCCCACTAGTGGGATTTCACTGGGTCGTTGTTTTTGTTATTGTTTAAATTGAAATGAATCAACTCTTAGTTCTTAATACATTTGCTTTACGATATTTTGAACTGATCCAAACCTTACAAGGAGTTTGATTTTTCTCGAGTACAACTGATTTTTATTTTATGTGATACACTCATCATTTTGGAGTGTATTGGAAACCTTGGAACATGTTAACAAATATCCATGTTTATTATGACCAGAATATTTGAGTCTGTGGCTACTTTAGATTTGGATCATGCTCAAGTTGTCAATGGCGCAAACATTTACTCCTTTAGATTGGATGTTTTTCTGGTCATTGCTATTAGAAACATCTTTTCTTTGTAGCAGACTCAGGCGGGAAGGATTCCCATGGCTGAAATAGGATACCGAAGCACAATTGGCTATCCTTTTTTGTTATCACTTCGTCCTATTAGTATTTCTCTTCTTGCTATGAATCACACAACCGCAGTCTTCTGCTGGTCATGTGATCTTAGATAGATATTGCTAGTTCATGTTCTATCATTTCTCATGCTGAACAGCCTTTATTTTGAAGGAGAATCCTGAAATTAGTTGATCGTATGACTTGTTTGTTTTATATACATAAAGTTATCTTTTCCCTATTTGATGGTTTTTGGTATAGAAGTTTGTTCAAAGACTATATTGGCTGGGATGATATTTGTGCTAATCAACAATAGTTCTGTAGTTAAAAGGAAGATCGCATTTGGCATCATTAACATATGATCCTTCTTGTTCAACTCAATTCATTTTGGTTTACTTTGTTTGAGCTTTTACATCTTTCTGATGGAAAGCTGCTTGTTATTCATCCTTTGGAGAAAATATCATTATATTTTCATGTAATATCAAGATATTGTAGTTAAAAGCGTGTGTTTACCTTGCAGGCATGAAAACCTGTTTCTTTCCTTGCGGTACATTTTCTAAAGTTGCCAGTGCTGCAGCTGACAGGCATATATGTAAGTGGCTCAATAGTCTGTCCAAATCTTTCTTGTCTAGTCATGGGTGATAAAAATAAAGATGGAGTCATCTTTTAGTTACTCAGTTTCAGCAATCTTCTTTTCTCTAATCACAAGAAATCATAATTAGCCATGGGTATGGTATTTATTTTTGCAAGTCACTGCATGACATTCAGAACTAGCAGTTGAAGTGCAGTTCTCACCGTGAGAGCATATATACTATGTTTTTGGTTAAAGTTAAACTAAGTACTATCTAAGAGATGTGAAAGAACTAGTTAATCCATCTCTAGATTAGCATTGGCAACCTATTCTTTTGATAACCAAGCTGTTGATTGCATTTCTCTGTTGTTTTCAAGAGAAAATAGCAACTGTAAACTCAATACTTGACTGGGTCTTGTAAGTTTAAGAACTAGAAAATTTGGATCAATATTCCTGTGATAAAATTCAAATTCTCTGTGTATAATTAGATATCTTACAACAGGTATCTCCATTCTAAGTATACTATGCATCAAAAAAAGAATTTGAGCATTCAGCCAAAACTGGTAAGGATATGAGTGGAGTACCTTAAGGCTGAAACTACTTCTTAACTGTTATATAATCGATGTGGGACATTGTCATGCTACAAACCTGCAATAAATAAATAAAAGTGTCATATCTCTAACAGATTAATATTTTATGCGAGTTTCACAAATTCAACTATCATGAGGTCTTCAGTTTTAGACTTACAACACCTATCAACAAAAATATTTCCACGTGTTTGGCATAAGAAAAAGAATCAGTCTACATGTGAGGAGGCGTGACGTACATCTAAATAAAGAAGTGTCCAGTAAATAAATTAAGTTTCTTCCCCCTAACAAGTTTTTAGAACAATTCAAATGCGATCTGAAGGTTATTGTTGGAGTCGTCCAAGATTGTTACAAATCCTTCTAGAAACACTTATACAACTGATGTGAGACATATCTCAAACAGTATCACCCTGCCCTTATTTTATTTGATGTTTATTCACGATTTTGATACCATTTGGATCTCTCCTAAATAACTTTTGACTGTGTTGGATGCAGCTTCAGCAGATGCCTGTAATGAATTAATGGCTTACTCATTGATACTGTCCTGCTGTTGTTACACTTGCTGCGTCAGAAAGAAGCTACGGAAAAAGCTAAACATCACGGTAAACTACCATATCTACTGCAGCTGCATTCGTCCCATTATCAGTGTAGATTCGCAAACTTAATATCCCTCTAGTAAATAGGAAACGAAAAATAGACTTGCAAGTTATCAGAGTAGATTCACAACTTATCTCTCTAGTAAATCAGAAATGAAAAATAGACTTGCACGTTATTCCTGCTAACACTCCACAAGAAAAGAGAAACCCCCCTCTCCATATGAAAATGCCTATCGGAAGGGATAAGGAAAAGCTTCTGAAGGTTCCTTTTTCTTCATCATGTTGATCCTTGTTTGAAGGTACTTGATTGACAAAATCAAATTGTTAATGATGGACAAGTACCTTCATGCAAGACCTGGTGTTAAACTGAATATCATCGAGATATCCTAGATACCCTGCTGATTTTTGTTTTTTTTAGGGAGGCATTATTGATGATTTTCTCTCACACTTAATGTGCTGTTGCTGTGCTCTTGTCCAAGAATTGCGTGAAGTGGAGATACGTGGGGCTCATGGTATGTTTTACTTGAATCCTCTACTCACATTTCCTTCTGTTAATGCCTTCAACTAGGTTGGAGCCGTTTTTCTGTATTAACAAGATCCAAACTGGAAATCTTAACACTATGTGTTGCACTAAGCTCACTCTTTATACGTTCACGAATGATGCAAAGCTATATTATGCAGGTACAGGGAAGACGAAAACATGTCCTCCACCTTCTCAATTTATGGAATCCTAGGAAATTACGGTTGGCGTTTTAAGGCTAAATTTTTTATAGAATTATGCAGAGTTAATGACTGATTAACTTGTCACTACTGGATTCATGCATCGTGATAGTTTCTGACTGAGTTTAGTCAACCATTCTGTAAAGTAATTCTTAGTAATCCAGATTCAGCTTGTACAGAATATATTCTATAGTTTTCAACGGTTCATTGTCCATTCCTTAAACTGTGGTTGACAAATCAGGGACTATCTCTAACCTTTTTTTACACCTGAAGCCGACCCCCCCCCCCCCCCGGCCCCCGGCAGTCTAAATAGCGGAAAGATGAACTTAGCTATGCACCTATTTCACGTGAAAAGAGAGAAGGGGTTGTATTCTCATGTGATGTAAATGGGATAATATACCATTCTTGGTATAATTTATATACATGTATTTTAACCGGTTAAGCAAGTTATTTACTATAATTTTGAAGATTATTGTAGATAATTATTACCTGTTATTGTTGTAGGGAGTGCCACATTCTGCAAACGATTTTGGGCTAAAAACCCTGCAAGCGGCATTGAGGGCGACTTTACTGCCTCAATTCGTTTAACCGGAAGAGTTAACTCCTTTAGCATGTTAACTTGGAGATTAGATGGTTCACCTTCGTCTTTCTTCCTATTAGGGACATATTGGAGCGCCGGACTTACTTTCTTGCCATAAGACGTAATATTCCCTCTATAAGATTTATTCGCATTGGGTTGTACCTCCTTACTAACAGCTTTGGCTTCACCAGTAGTCACCTCTTCTCTTTTAGTTGAGGGCTCTTTATTCTTGCTTTTCATGCCATCATCAGCTTTCAGCTCCTTCACAATGCGGTTCTTCAAGTAGAACGTTGCATCGGCGAAGTGTGACTCAGCCTCGGTGAATGGCTTATCATCAGCAACTATCGTCTTCTCGACTTCACCCTCGTAGTATTTTAAACATTGATGGTAGGTAGACGGAACTACTTTATTTTCATGTATCCAAGGCCTTCCAAGCAAAACATTGTATGAAGTCTTCGCGTCGATCACATGCAGCCATGCACTTGATTGCATATCTTCAATAGTGATTCCCAGCCTGATCGCGCCTATGGCTCTTTGCCCCCCTTGGTTGAATCCTTGGATCATCACACGACTTTCTGAGAGTTCGTTCGTAGGAATACCAAGTTCTTTCACAGTATGTATTGGCAAAATATTCACCGAGGATCCTCCATCAACCAAAATCCGATTTACCCTTTCATCGCGCATATAGCCAACCAGGTACAACGGGCGGTTATGAGGAGTTTCACCTAGCAAAAGATCGTCATTTGTGAACGTGACCTTTTCCTCACAAGCATTAACTTCTTGAGGAGTGGACTCGATGGGCTTTTCCGAAGATGGTGCCAACGATAGGTCATCACTCTTTTCTTCCCCTTTGCCAGCATGGCAACAAGAGGCCTCAACACGATCACAGGAAATCTTCGTGCGGAACCAAGATGGCAAGAAATCCTCCAAAGTCACTGTATGTCGTGGCTTTTGAGGGTGGTGCATCTCCACTTTTGCTTTCTTCAAACGCTTAACTGGATTCTTTTTCATTGGTCTTTTTGCCATCATCTTCCTTGTTGGTTGTTCTACTAATTCTTTTCGTGGGCTCCTTTTGTGGCGCCTACGATGAGTCACCAACGTCCAACCTTCATCATCATCAGGTTGATCGTCTTCAACTTTGTTGTTCTCCAGTAATTCTTCATTTTTACTTTCTTTAATACCGCATAATTCATCTGGACTAAATGAGCCGAAGGGGATAGAGACTTGGTTTGCGCTTGCTTTCTCATCTTCCAGCACGATCTTCTTTTCGCGAGCCAAGTCCATGACTTTGTCCTTGAAGACAAAGCACTTCTCCAGAGGGTAGCTTACAAGTCGGTGATATTTGCAGTAGTTTGGGTCATTTGTTTTACAAGCTTTATTTGGTCGCTTCATCTCCGGAAGCTCAATGAGATTTAACTCGAGGAGTTCTTCGAAAATGGCTGGCACATCAGAATCCAGGAATGGGTACTCTTTCTCCTGCATCTCTTTTAGAGTCAACTTTCCACTTGGCTTGTCTTGAAAAGAAGTGGATTTCATACTCTGCTTCTTGCTCACCTTCGTCGTGAACTTCATAGGTGACGTATTGACATTCATAGCTTCTTTGCTTTCAGACTTGGGTACGAACTTGACCCACTTCCTGACTTCTTGCTTGTCATTCGCTTTGCGAGGTTCATAGATGGGCAGCCTTTCATTTCCAGTGGAGGCCATGCTCAATTCCATGTCATGGGCACGAGTTGCAAGTTCTTCAAATGTGCTAGGCTTGATACCTTGCAAGATGTAGCGCAATCCCCAATGCATGCCTTGGATGCACATCTCTATGCCTGAAGCTTCACTAAGCCTGTCTTTGCAGTTGAGGCTTGCATTCCTCCAACGATTGACAAAGTCGATAACTGGTTCCCCCTTTCGTTGACGAGTATTTGTAAGCTCTATCATACTCACCGTGCGTCTTGTGCTATAAAAGCGATTGAGGAATTCTTGCTCTAGTTGATCCCAGCTGTCAATAGATCCAGCCTCGAGGTTCGTGTACCAGTCAAAAACGTTTCCTTTTAGCGAGCGGACAAACTGCTTGATGAGGTAATCTCCATAAGTCCCAGCATTGTTGCACGTCTCCACGAAGTGCGCAACATGTTGCTTCGGGTTACCTTTACCATCAAACTGTTGAAACTTCGGAGGTTGATAGCCGGCAGGCATCTTCAACATATCGACCCTTGCAGTGTACGACTTTGCATATGTAAGGGAGGATTTGGCAGCAACTTCATATTTGTTCTTAATGGTTCCTTCGATGAACTCCTTCAGTTGATCGATTGGAATCATCCCTTCAGATGAGACAGGGATAGCCTTAGTGGATGCTGCTTGTTTTGGGGGAGAGTCACTCTCTAGAACTTCTGGGAGCTTGCCGGGTGCATGGGTAGATTCTTCTTCCATCAAGGTTCCCACCCTGTCTGTTAGCTTGTCAATTCTAGCCTCTTGATTTTGCATGCATTTGGTTAAGCCAGCGATTGCTTCCGTCAAGTTTGCCAACTGCTCCTCCATGGATGAAGTGTTTGTCACCATGGCTTGCATGATTGTCGTGGATGACGGAGAGTAGCATGGATTTTCACACAGATTGATCCTTGATTGGCTCACGCTATGTGGTGTAAGCGGGGAGGATCCATCACTTGAAGCATCATTATCTTCCTTCACAGCAGAGTGCTTGGAGCCGGAGAGGTCAAGCAGAGCAAGAGTTTTCTTAATCTTTTCAGGAACATCGCTTCCTCCTTCAGATGCGTTTGTGGCAGATCTTGCTCCTTTTGAGGATGAAGATCCGAAAACAGGGGTTGATGCGGACGGCACTTGGGGTGCTTGTTGTCCTAAAGAGCTTGCTTTGCTCCTCGTAACTGGTCCGAAGCTTCCAAAGATGACATCGAGGATGCTTTCCACATCAGCATAGAATCTGGAGTTAGCAGCCTTGGTGGAAGTTGAAATGGAGTTAATTTTCTTTGAAGCCATTTCAATGTTCTTGAACTTTGGTGATTGAAAAGTTGAGATGAGAGGTAGAGATGGTCCCAACGGGCGTGCCAGAATTTGTAGACAATAAATTTGCGTCGAGAAAATTAAAATCAAGACCGAAAATATTGCAACAGTCGTAGTATTTTATTTCGAATATTTAAGTGTTACAATCTCTATGGATCCTCTGATTCTTCTTTCCAATTGTAAATAAATTCAAAGGCCATTGAGCTTGATCTTGAATTTATAGTTATCGCCACGAACGATGATCTTGTTCTTGAGCTTGAGCTTGATTGCTTGAACTTGATCTTGATTTGTTCTCGTTTTTGAGCTTGGAATTGATTTGTTCTTCGTTCTTGAGCTTGAACTTGAACTTGAAGCTTGAAACTTGTGGAGAAATTTGCAGCGTTTGATCCACGAGCTCTTTCTTGCTTCTTGTTATAACTTCTGGTGCCTTTTCTGAGTTATGAAGACCCCTATTTATAGTTGTGGAAGGGAAGAGTCATGATAAGAACAAACTCTTTCCGACCAATCAAATTGAAGGGTGACATGACCGCATTTGATTGGCCAAAACATGTCACTTGCACACGTGGCACGATTTCATTGGCCTTTCAGTGTGACTGGGCATGCCTTGTCATTTTGACACGTGGCATGATCCTATTGGCTCTTCCGTTTGACTTGGCGTGCCACGTCATTTGACACGTGGCACCAAACTGGGCCTCTAGGAAGATGACATCTTGGGCTTAATAAAGTGGGCTCATCACTTTAGCCCAATTAAATGGGCTAGCCCAATGAATTAAGACTTATTTATTTAATCCATATATATTGGACTTATATAATTAATTCAATTATATTAGCCCATATATTTATTTGGACTAATATATCTTGAATATAGTCCAAATTATTTCATGGATTTAATCTTAATAAAATTTACATGCCTACAATTGTATGTTGCCGTTTTTACACATTCAACTGTAACATTCTAGGCAAATTTCAAGTCAGCAAAACACAGAAAAGATGTTGAGTATGTATGAAAAAATAAACCTTAAACTTTATCAATATATTTCAACTTAGGCGTAAAATGGACAATATTACTAGTGAACTGAGATGTTACCTTTATTTTTCTTCGGAAATCGAACCACCAACATGAAAATATTCCTTCTCGGACTACATTTTGATCCTAACATCTTTCTAAGGGGGGATTCCCTGTCTCACTAAAGAAGAAGCCTAATTTATTTAAAATTTGACAGATTACATGTAGAAGAAACAATTGTAGAGTCTAGTAGTTAATTTAATACTTTGTAATTAGATGAAGTTAGTAGATAAAAGGGGAGGTTAATTAGTTAGTAGTATAAATAGAAGTTCGTTATATCTGTACAGTAGCTTCTTAGAATTAGTTAGAACAGTTCATTCTAATACAGAGAATGAAGCTTCTACTTCTTCTTCATCGACTTTCTTCTTCTTCTTCTGCCATGGCTGCCTAGCTCAACATGGTATCAGAGCTTCAAGGCTAGATCGATTAACTCAGCAGCTTCAGGAGAGGAAGATCGCTAGTTAATAGCTTCCTTTACTCTATTCCTTTTCAGTTTTCTAGCAAATTCCCTGAAATTAGGGTTTGTCTGATTAGTGTCAATTTCTGCTGAAATTGAGTGATTTGCGACCTAAATCATCTCAT